GGTGGTGAAGGACTGGGGTGAGATGGGAACCAGGCAGAGGGGGTCGATGGGGGGAAAAGGGGACATCTGTAATACTTTCAACAATAAAGATAATTTTTTAAAAAGAGAGAGAGAAAGAAAAAGGAGAGAAGTGTTGAGGTCAGGCAGGGTGCAACCACCTTTTATTGAGTGCATACTACGTGCCTAGTTCTTTGCTGAGTGCTCTGTGACATGACAACATGGTGAGTGAGGTGTTAGCCCCATTTTCCATAAGAGGAACCTGAGATTGAAAGAGTTGATTTTCTTCCGGTGGTCAAATAGCCAGTGGGAGACTGGCATACGATACCAGGTATGTTTGTTTTCACTCCACCTCACCTCCCTAACTCTCCAAGGAGGAAATGGTGGAGGGTGATCAAACCCACCTCACCCTGTTCTCTGAATATCTCTCATACCATCCCCACACTTGCTCTGGCTCTCCCTTGCCAGTGTAAGGCTATCCCTTGCAATCTTCAAGGTACAGTTTCAGACCACTCCACTGTTGCGAGAGGTATCCTGTACCAAATTTCCCTAGCCACATAACTCCCTTCCTGGTGCTCTTCAGCACTAACCACATGTCTAGGCCCTTGGTACTCAAAGTATGGTGTATGTACCAGCAGTACCAGCACTACCTAGTTAGAAATGCAGAATCTCAAGGCCTACCCCAGACCTACTGAACCTGCATTTTAAAAAGCTCTCAAGATGATTCTTGTGCATATTAAAGTTTGACAAGCACTAGACTAGCTCACCTTGTGTGCCAAGGGCCTTAACTGTCTCTGGTCACAGTTAGTGAATAAGGTGGTTGGGTTTCCAGAGGTGTCAACCTAGGCAGGGAATGCAGGCCTGCTTGTTAGGGTCCATATTAGGAAGTTAGTGGTTTTAAGGCTTAGCCCCCATTATCAGAAAAGAGAGACCTGTCTTTACCTCCTCTAACTCCCACCCAGTCATGGCTTTGAACAATGAGCTGCAGGCCCAGCTGCATGGACCTGGGAAGCCAGAGGATGGCCCATAGCCTAAATGCCTGAGCCCAGTAAGACACAGATCAACAAGGCTAGAGGAGTGACACCCTTCCACCCTGGGCCCCACAGGAAGAAGAGAGATGAGCTGAAGTAATGCTGTGACCTGGGGTGGTCCTGTGGGAAAGCAGCGTGGAACCATCTTATCAAGAGGCAAGGAAATGGAGACATTCAAGGGGGATCTGCTGTATGTCAGGCATACAGAAGTGTTACTCTCCACAGATCAGGCCAGAGACAGAAGGAGCCGACCAGAGACCACAGCATCTCTGGGCTGGACTAGGTCCCCTAACTGGAATTTCCTGGTTTCCCATGCAAACCTTCTGCCCGCCCTCCCTTAGCCCATTTTGACTTACTTGTGATTCCTCTTTTCTTACCTAAGAATCCTATGAAATAATAGGCGTTATTTGGTTTTCCTCCTAATGCCCCTAAAGACTGTGGCATCTTAAAACACTCCTAGAGGGAAAGAGAATGCAAGATTCTCAATTCACTTGTGGACTGCTGCTCACGGATCTCCGTGCTCACATGGCAATGTGATGGGCAGGCAACAATGGGCTCGGAAAAAGGAGCAACTTACTTTGAATGCATCAACATAGACAGGATTGATTTGGTTTATGCCCAGGCGGAGGGGCACAATGAGCAGCAGGGGTTTCCAGGCTGGGCAGCAGGCAGAGGTGGCCTTACTGTAGTTTGAAGCATTCCGAAAGTCAGGGGGGCTCTCAACGGCTGTATCAGCAGTCAAGGGAAGGACGCAGCACATTTTTTCTAGAAACAGAAGAAAAGAGATCTGAGTAAATTAGGGGTTTACAGCCCTAGGAGGTATTCCCAGGGCAAAACTAAAAGAGACCTCACATGACACTCCCTGCCTGGAAGGCCTTCCTGTCTGCTACCAGGACCCAGCTTGTCCCACCTCCGCCAGGAAAACCAGGCCACTCTTTCAGCTGTTACTTCTCTTCCTTCTTGCAATTGAGCACTCCCTTACCTCCTGTCAGACATTATGGGCTCATTGAGAGAATCTCATTTCTCAACTAGTCTGCAAGGGCCTTTGGGACAGGAACTGTGTCTTTTGGTTTCTCTCACCCCATGGTGGGGAGCACAGGACTGCACTAGGGGGCGGCCTCCACAGAAGACCTGTTGACGGTTTAAATGATTATCCACTTAGGTATCCTGCAGAGAAAAGGTCTGGTACTGCACTGAGGGGCAGCAAAGATCCTCTAATTGTTTTCTTCCTTTCAGAAAGCTGAAAGGAAAGAGAAAAAAGGGTGCAGGGGATGATTAACCAGGGTCCTGTGCTCCCCTAAGCTCCCCTCCCCTGATGGGGCAGGCCAGAGAGTCCATGTGTGTGCGTGTGTCTATTTGTCTGTCTCTCTCTCTGCCTGCCTATCATCTATCTATCTATCATCTATCTATCTATCATCTATCTATCTATCTATCATCTATCTATCTATCTATCTATCTATCTATCTATCTATCATCTATCTATCATCTATCTATCATCATCTATCTGTCTATCTATCTATCTATCTATCTATCTATCTATCTATCTATCTATCATCTATCTATCTATCTATCTATCATCATCTATCTATCATCTATCATCTATCTATCTATCATCTATCTCTCACCCCCAATTTCTGAATGGTGAGGAAGGACCTCATCATCCACCACCCAGAAAGGTAAACAGACTGCGGACTCACTGATATCTTCAATGACCACTGTGTTATCCATTGAAACATAAACAGCCAAGGAATTCCATTCATCAAATAAAGCAAGTTTTCTGCAAAGCAACATACAATGAAGTCACAATTGGGGAAGATGGAAGTATCAGCAGGAAGCATTACAATCCATGTCCAGTGTTCCTGAAGTCACCAAACACTGAGCCTCAGAAAGGTTGGGGTTTAGGTTAGCTCTGGCTCCTTTAACCAAGCACTGGAACATTCAGTGTTCAGGGACCTTGAGTATGCCACAAAGTCACAGTTTCTTAATCTTGAAAAGGAGGCCCTGCTTTACAAAATGGAAAAGTCTACCTCACAAGATGATGTTACTCCTCTTGGGTGAAAGAGAAGAGTTACCAATGCATCTGCTCCCAAGAGGTTTTGTTTTCTTTCCTTAAATAAAAGATATTCTGATTTACTAATTTTTTTCAATAAATGGAAATTATCATTAATATATATATGTATATATACACATATGTATACACACACACACACACACACACATATTTGTTTGGGAGCATAGATAATACAGAGAATAAGCCCCAGGAAAAGAGAGAGGGGGGAGAGGGAGAGATAGAGTGACAGGTGATCTCTCACATCCATCCCCACGTGCTGTGAGAATGCTGTTCAAGAACACTTGAACTGCAAATGGCCTCAGGTGTGTGGCTGAAGAGAGAGAACATGCTGAGTTGCATGACCCAAGAGATTAGAAAGAAAACCCCTTTGAGAGTTTATCTGAGGTCTGAGCAAAGTACCATGATTATTTCTCCTTTATCTTCTTCTCTTCTTGCCAGTTTGAAAGAAAACACGTTTAACCTGGCTACTCCGGGATTCCTGGGTAAAGTCCAGTCTCACTGGACAAAAGAAAAAACATTCTTTCCCAATCCAAAGTAGCTCTCAGAAAGAGGTTAATTACTATTATACTTTTATTTTACTCATTTTAATATATTATCTTTCTCAAAAATAATAATGATAATATATACGGCCGTTAATGATAATAACAATCATGTATTAGAACACACTTAATTTTTTTTAAATGTATGCTTCCATTTGTTTGTTGTTGGGAACCTCAAAATTTAGAAGAAAGAAGCAAATTCTTAAAGATATCATTTAAAAATCAACCATTTGAAGCTGGGTTTTGGACTCAGCACAGCCATTCTAATCTTCTACTTTTTCTACCCTGGTTCCTACAATGGCTCCCGAAATACTGCCAAACTCTCATTCAGTCGAGTCAACAATGCCCCAAAAGGCACTAAAGACTAAAAGGTAAGAAAGTGGTCTCAGATAGACTATAGTGTTAGCAGAGAGTAAAGCCAAGATACAGGTATCACTTGGGTCCCCAGGAAATCTAGACTCCTCCCGTCACAAGCACATTTACAAAGCATTCTAGCTCATTGAAGACTGACTAATAATTTAATCAGTACCCATCTGTATTTTGCATGGATCAGATCCCATCATCATGCTCCAGAGAGCCCAGGATTGAAGCATGCTACACCAAAGGAGGCCCAATGATTTGTCTTCTGATGCTAAACCCAACCTCAGATTCTGGCTGCCATCTTCACTCATTCATCATATATTTATTGAACACTTATGTGTGTCAGGCAGTTTTATGTGCTAGTGTTCCAGCAGTGAACAAGACAAATACAAGCTCTGCCCTCATGGAGTTTCCACTTGGTGACATGTTGTCAGGAAGGAGAGTGACAACAGGTGAAGTGGCCTGCAGGTGTAGGTCCGGATGCCACTCACTTCATTCACTTTCAAAACATTGGTCCTGGCCTCTCCACCTTGCCTCTTGCTGTAGGTGATAAATTTTGGGATTTAACAGAACAAGTGCCAAAATATCGTGCCTAGGTGCCTGAAGTCTGCTAAGAGATGACAGACTGATTCCAAAACTCCTTTGGGTTTTGCCTCCTCCACTAAGTCATAAGTTTCTTGAGGCAAGAACTGTGTCTAGTTAATTTCTGTACACCAAGCACTTAGCACAGTAAAGGCACCCTGCAAATGTGGAATGAATAAATGAATGAGTGGGACTTTTTTTATACTATACATGGTGGGAGTCCACGTCTTGCCTAGGCTGGCTCAACCTCCCCCACTTAGTATGACTACTTTGGCTTCAAGCTGACCTTCATGCTCATGGCTCCCCAGTACATGAGCACCAATTTGTGGGGTGGGGTATGGTGGGGAGACTGAATGAGTCCTGAGGTGCCTCCACATATACTGGTACCAATGGCGATGACTCTGACATATCAAGACAGCTGTGCCCAGTTACACATTTCAAAGAACTGTCTGAGCATAATGGTACAGATGTTTGCTGGTTTAGTGGGATGGGTGGTTTAGTGGGATGGCAAAAACAGTTAGGCTGATGGGATATTGAGTTGGCAGAGGAGGAAGGCTTAAGGGACAGAATAATAAAGTGAATGCCAGACTCTTTTACTTACTTTAACACTTGTGCAACTGTATTTGGTCCAAACCATTCGCCAATTGATTTCCCTTCTCCTACACCCATTTGTGCTGTTTTTATGTGGAAAAAAAATAAACATGTTAGCAAAAGATCTTCCACCATACCACAAAATCCTATTTTTTTGCACAAATAATTAAACAGATGGACAACTTAGTGGAGCCACATACAAGGCAGGGGACAAGAGGAACAGGTACAGGCATTGTCTTTAAACCACTGATGTGACCTTACCCATTTGATGGATTGAGTAGCAACAGTCTTTTCTATCTAAGAAGCACTGTAGGATCCGCTGGTATTCTTTGGGTTGTTCTTTTTGTTTTTCCCAGTTCCAGTCTTTTAAGGGGAAAAAAAGAGTTAAGTTATTTTTATAACTGCTTATTACTTCTCTGAACTCTTATTATAACCACGAGGTTAGAAGGATAACAAAGAAACTATATCTGAATGGCAGGAATGATCAACTTAGAACATTCCTGTATCTTTAACTTTGAGGACAAAGACATCTGTAAACTGATTACTTTCTAAGACTTGATAGGTGTAAAGTAAAAGCAAAACAAGAAGTTGACCAGGGAATTGACTTAGCCTCATGGCTAGAGCGGATAAATATTATATGAAAACAGTCTCACAAAGGCCTTTCTGGTCAGCTACTCAGTGACCAGGGGGCCACACAAAATCGAGCAATATATCCGTATATCACCCAGATGCCAGTGTCTCATCTCCACACGGGCAGCAACAGCTTTGTCCTTACATTTTGGCAGCACTGCCAGAAAAGTCCCATGAGGGGAAGTGCTATTCTGACACACAACAGTTCACAGAGGAATATACACAATTCACAGCTAAGGAAGCTTTAAAAAAAATTGCATGCTGCCATTTTTATACAACCTTTAAAAAGTCCACACTGAGCTTTGCAAAAATAAATACCTTTGCTATCAGTGTTCAAGGTTTCCTTATGACCAAAACCAAAATAATCACATCTGTATAAATCCCATCCATGCCTTAAGCACAACCCCCCAAATCCTACAAACACTTGAAGGACAACTGCAAAAACTTGCCCTAATCACCACCATGGACAGGATGCAATGCTCTCATCCCTCAGCTTTAGGAACTCTGATAGGACAGAATTCTGAAGCTTAGTTTGCTTCCAAGACATAAACTTCTCTTCTGAGGTTTTAGAGAGTTTGCATTCACAACTGAAATATACTCGAAGCCAAAGGCCATTACCTCCAGAGTTTTCCACTCTGTTTGCTTCTAGTATTTTTGAAACCAAAGTTTCAAGCTTCATATTCAGCACAGACTTCAGAGGGTGAACTGTATGCAACTGTTTTTCACCAGCCTCCAAATTGTCCAAGTCTAGAGAAATCCTGATTAGCTGGGTGCTAAGTACCACCAAATAGTTTCTGATGATTGTGATAAGTGAACACCCCACCTCAACAACCAAGTAGGAAACACTCCAAAATACTTCTTCACAAAATTACAACTTCTAATTCATCTTTGCTACAAGATCTATCCCCAAATTCTTCCTGTTACTTGCTTTTACATTAAAACAATTGAGACTGTTGACTGGGATTCTTTTTTTCCAGTTTGCTTTTCATAAAATTCACTTGCAGAAGAAACATCTTGTAGTGTTTTATAAATGAGAAAAAGTTACAAAGTAAGAATAAATCTGCTCCAAGAAGTATGTGTACCTTAGAGACATCTCTGGACAAGGAGTCAGAAGACCTGCATTGTATTCTCAAATATATGCTTTCTAGCTGTTTTACCCTGGGCAAGTCACCTTACTGAGTCTCAGTTTTTTTATCTGTTAAACAGAAAGCAGGCACAGGATGTCCGAAACCCTGAAAAGAAGGCATCAGGCCCTCAAACCTCCTCAGATCCTTCACCAATCAACTGTGATAATGGCAGCAGGGTGTGTGAGGTTGCACAGTGGGGGAAAAGAATAATGTTTCCATCCTTCTGAATCTCAATGAGTTCAGCAGCCCAATCTCATTCAATTTCACTCCCTCATCCTCAAGTTGAACTGGACTTTTACGCAATTGCCTAAACTAGCACCCAGTCAGGGTCAGCCTACAGATGCCCACAGGGAAGCACATATGTATTAAGAAAGCAGGACTCAAGAGTTCCAACAGTGATTATTGAAACGTTCTTAATAAAGTGACCTCTTGAGGAAGCTAATTTAAGGATCCCTTAATCATCGAATGGACATCTTCAATAAACCAAAACCAAAATAGCACCAGCTCTCTCATTAGGCATTTCCTTTATGTCATTTACATCCTTTTCCAGGCAGATATTTTAAATGAGGTCAAGAAACAGACCTACCAACACACCCTTCCTCCTGCTCCCTTTCTTATCTGACCTGGTTAAGGACTCAGTCAAACAATAGAGGAGATGGAAACTAAACGACACACCTGCCTCAATGTTCATTTCTGTCTCAGGAAAATAACTCTCTGGTCTAGTGAATCACAAGGAAATGTCGCCTGTTTCCTTCTCATGGGAGACTGTCAACTTGTCAACCACACCGGTGACTTGAGCTTACAGAGAGCACTTTAAGACCTGCCGCTCTGTTAGTGAGTATTCCTCAAGTTCACCACCAATGTGAAATCACCAGCACTGAGTGCTACTGAAGAGGTCTCTGAGGTAGTTTAAAGAACAAATTTAACTCACCCCTTCCCAAGTGTTTGCAGATAAGGGCTTGAGCCAGCATCATCTGTCCACAACGTAGCATACATCCCCAGCCAGCATCTGATGAAGGGCCTGTTCCTCCTGTTGGCAAAATGGATGGCAATAAATGAGTTCCTGAAATTGCCCTTTCCCAAAACAATCAGCATATCTGTGAATCATACAAGACAAATAGACACATATACTCTGAAAAGAGAGACAAGAGATATAGCCAGATATCTAACAGGGTTTGTTATAGGATAGAACTTGCAAAGTTAATGCTGCATTAACTAAAATGGATTCTATGGTCAAAAACAAAACAAACAAATGAACAGAAACTGCCCCTTATGTTTTCTGCTTGGAGACTTCTAGGTACGCATGCAATTTTGATAGATGACTTCCATGTATGACTACCAACACTTAGTCCATGCCATATCATCTGCCTGACCAAACCTGGCTTTGCACAGCTCACCTCTCAGGGAAACCAGTCTTACCTTAGTTAAGAAATAAATGCTACCCAAGGCAATGGTAGCATCAAAATGGTCAGAGAGATCTGGAAGGCTCTTGACTGTTCTAAATGCACATTATAAAGATCCGAACAGCAAGTAGGACAATGTAAAATAGAGGAGAGTCTTAAATTAGGCATCAGAAGACCAATTTCTAAATACCTAATCAAAATCTCATCTATAGACTGGGGATAATAGCATATAAACTGCCTATTATCAGTGGGTGTTGTAAGAATTAAGTGAGAGAGTATCTGTGAAAGTGTTCTACAACCCACTCAGGACCACAGAAATATTTGGTGTTATGAGTAAGGTCACAATTAAGAATACTATTAATAAATTAGAAATGTACTACATCTCTAAAAGGCATAAAACCAATTAATAAGTGAAATAAGACAGAGTTCCATTTTAAGAACACTTATGCGGCCAGGGTGAGCTCACTATCGTTTTTCATGGTACCAATGAAATCAGATAACTTGGATGGTAGAGGAGACATTCTGCTTTCATTACTTTGCTATCTCAATATGGAAGTGAAAAAGTATGCTATAAGCATGATCTCACAAGAGTAACTTTAAAGGGGGCCATCAACCATATAAGACAAGTGAGCCAAGGTGGTTGTTCCTTTCCTTTTGTTGCGGGAACTGAAGGAGAGTTGGTACAGAAACAAGAGAAGGGTTGAACCAACTTGGGAGCTGGAAGGGGAGCCCTTTGACTCTTGCTCATGTTGGGATTATTGGCCAGATTAGTATGGAAAAGATGCAATGAAGCCCACATTAAGAAGAGAGCATATTTTGCCAAAACATTGTCAGAGTTGAATTGCAAATGTCTTCAAGCCTTGCAAAGACCTCTTCACCCAAGAAAGTTAACAGTTTAGAAGCACTGGGTACTAAAAAGTGTTTGTTTGTTTTACTGCTCAGGTACTTCCTGTGGAGGGCCAAAAAAAAAAATGTCTGTGTGGACTTCATTTTTGGAACTTATCAGAAAGGTTGATCTGATGCCAATTACTAGGTCCAGTCCTGTACCAAAATTGGTCAGGCAGGTTTCCTGTTAGGAGAATAGCATCTACCATTTGAGTTTGGTACTCTTTTCCAACAGGGCCATGATACTAGAAATAGGTCACCCAACTTGCAAACATTTTACAAATTTTCTCTCAAGGGAGCCTGTTCACTTAGCTTATCGAACTGTCCTTTTTTCTAGACAGCAGCTGGTACTCTAACAGGCTAGAATTAGATCCAAGAAAATATAGCATAATTCATCTCTCAGTGGCAAGACATTTTCATTTCATAGGGGAAAACAATCAAAAGAATAATTTTCTTTCCTTCAGGTACAATTGTCTTTAATAATCAAGTAGCTGCATAAAGCAGTAGGCTGTAATTTAATAAATATTGCCCAAATTAAAAGTTTGACTTTTTCCTTACTCTCAGAAGTAAACTAAATAACACCATCCAGAGCCTGAACACTTGGAGGTGGGCTCAAAAGTATGCAGGCATTACACATTAACACTATGGAGCCATTCATGATGAGGTAGCTTGACAATGAAACTTTTGCATAAAGTGTAAGGCTTAAATACTCCCCTAAATCAAATTTGTAACCATAGTGAGCTGTTAATTTGGAGGTTTCTGTGAAGTCACTGAAAACTTCAAGCAAGCTATGCACAAGGAAGAAAGCACAGTACAGCAAATCATATACCTACCAATCGGTGAAAATTTCCTTCTGTATGTAAACCATAGACGAGCACTTATATCAGACAACAGCTTAGATTTTTCTGTAATTAAATGTGAAATTCAAATTAAATCACCATATCCCATCTAAAGATATCTGCCTTTCATTTCTGAGCCAGCAGCAAACTAATTTTCAAATAACCAGTTAATTCCATTGTTATGGGGCTAGGGAAATTCATAACAAATCCATTCTCACTTTAACGAAATAATTTCTGCGTTTCCCCCTACCTATGTTTTGACAGGAGCCACTGGCTAGTACAGAGAGGCTGGGTGGCTCCTGTCTCTTTTCCACTGAGCTCCATGGCCCTGGCAGGTACTAACACTGGGAGCACAGCCAGAAGACGAGGAATAAAAGATACAAGGATCCTAGATAACCACCTAACAAGGCAATCAGCCCCTGCCTAAATTATGACAGTTGATTGAATCTGCCATCAGTATTCACTGTCTGTTATCTAAAACTGGGTATGGGGGTGTGTAGGGGGCAGGGTATGCACACGTGTACATGTTTAACTAAAAAGGAAATGTCCCTGGTTAAGCAAATTAAGTATGTAAGCAATGTATCAGTACCACCTAGTGCAACTGACATTTGTAATCTAAATGGATGCATAACATCATAAATGTTTTTGTATCTATTTTGAAAACATGTTTTCTTGTATTTTATGACAAATTTACTTCGATGGCCACAAATATGGCTTCCACATTCCCATCAGTACTTAAATGCAGTTCTATCTTTCTTAGTCTTCTCTCTCACCCTTTTCAATAGCATATCCATGTCTGTATTCTGTATAGTACTTATAGCCATTGCATTTTAAAAGAAAAAAAAGGAAATTCAGTTTCAGTCTATAGTTTCTATTTTCTCCCCTGTCTTTACCTTGAACTAATCAGAAAACTGAACTGTCTGGATTTTCCTTCCCCTTCATGTTCACAGTGTCTAGCACATTTTGGGAAGCAGATGTATAATGGTTAAGAGTAAGATTCCTGGAGTCAAACTCTGCCTGGATTTGAACCCTGACTATACTATTTACCAACCGTGTATCCCTGTTACTGAGATTCAGTTTCCTCATCCATAAAATGGGGAGAATGACAGCACCTACTTCATAGAGCTGTGAGCATTCAACAAGCTAATAAATGAAAGTGCTTAGATGCTACAGTATGTAGTAAGCCTGTGATAAATTTGAGCTGCTGTTATACATGCCTCCTCTCAAAATGTTGAGACCAGTCACTCTTTCCTCTTATATTCTCTACACCTCCCAGCTTGCCTATATGCTAGGAAGACTGGGAAAGTTGTACAGACATCTTAAAATTTTCACTTTAAAAGTTAACATTTGAATATGTGCATGTTTGACAGCCTGGGGATTTCTGTTGTCATGGAATGCAGAACTAGAAGAGATGACCTCCAGTCCCTTCATTTTATGTCCTAGTGAAGGGAGTTAAGCTCCAGAAAGAGAAAGTGACTAATCTAAGGAGGAGAAGAATCTGAATAGAAAAATTCTCCTAATTGCTAGCCCTGGGTGTTCTCCACTGTTCAGGATTCTCCTATCAAAATGATTAAGCCAGACTCAGGAGGAGCTATAAAATGTTTAACTTCCTCTCCTGTCTTTTGATCAGCTTCTTCCTGTCCCTCCCTCCATGCTGGAGCCTCTTCTCAGACAGATACAAAATCAGAGGTGTCTCTCTCCAAGTTCAAGCTTCATCTGGGTACAGGGTCATGAGCAGTTTTAGGTTTAAAGGTCTTTCCCGATCTATGAGAATGTAAGGTAAGAAAGGCAAATTCAAGTGTCCTTTTCACCTATCTAGCTGCACTAGCTGTAAATTCTATACAAAGTCAGAATAAACTAAGACAGAGTTACAGTCAGCAAAATATCTCAAACTATAAGACTTCTCAGTGTCTGATATTGCTTCTGACAGCCATGGGCTGTTTAGAAGTCCCCTGGGTGACAGTGCTTTAATCTAGACAGAAAAGGACATGTGAGGAATGAAAAGTATGTAGCCCAGTCATCAAAGACTAGATATGGGTTAGTGATACCAGGAGTGGGTCCATGTTTTTTGGAACCTGAGGCTTATAGAATTCAGGGGTTTTCCTTTAAGGGAAAGTACAAATATATGACCTTTTCAAATTGTGCAAACACTTATGACCATGTGAACATGCTGCAAGGGCCTCTTAGGGCCTTGGAAGGGGCCTGTGCAAGGAAAGGGCCTGAGGCTTAAACTTCTTTGGCTGCCAGGTGAATCCACCTAGCAGTAGGATTAACAGTTATTAAGGTCATGTTCTGCCTACCCAAGGAGAAAAATGCATAGACCTTGACCTCAAGCACCCACCTCATTTGAGTTCTCACAGACAAATGCTACCAAACCTTACCTGTTTTAAGGAGATGCTGTTTCCCCAAGATCCATACCAGCTCATCTGTATCTGGAAATTCTTCTAGGTAGTCAGCAAAAATAGTAATCTGGTTTTCATACTTGGATAAAACTGAAAGAAAAGGAAACAAACTTAGGCAAAATTTAACAGAGGGGGCTTGCTTCTGTGGTTTACTGATTATTACCTTTGTCCTAAAGGTGAAAGGTCATGGGCTGGGCTCCAATGCAATGGAAGCAAATCCTTTTCTTTGAGGAACAGAGACACTCACAGGCTGCAAAACCCTTCAGTAGAGGTATTTCCTCTTGACCACTTCTTTTGACCTTCCCTTTATCTTTTTCCTATTAGGCACCCTGTCTTAATAATTATTTGGCCACAGTTAACTCAAAACCATTTCTTTCATGGGGCCTTCTTTGTAAATAGCCACTTATCTAGCTTCTCCTAGGATGAGTGTATCAAGGTAATACAATAATACCTGAATATTTAACTCCTGGCCACATCACAGGGGATATTGTGAGGTTTGTAGTGGCCAATGGCTTGGAAGGGGCTATGACAAGCCTGGAAGATTATGAAACTATGAAAAGGTAATATTTCAGCTGGAAGACCAAATGTTTTGATGGTACTTTTATTTGCCATTTTATTCACATACGACTTCTGCAAAGAAGGATCTTGCAGCTGATGATAAATACAGGATGGAGCAAAATGGGTTTACAGTTATAAGTATGCAAAACACAGAGTTTAGCCTTGTATTATTATTTATTAATTATTGTATTATTTTTCATATGAACAACTGTAAATCTAATTTTGCCCTACCCTGTATAACTTGTTCTTGGAATTCACAAGTGACTATGATCATCTCTCAAAATAAAGTAACGAGATAAAATATAATTAAACCTCATAAGATCACAGGCCACACTCTCAGAACTTATGACCATGTAATAATGTAGGGGGAGTTAAAATTCACTTCTCTACCACTGTGGAGAAAAGGTCTGCTAAAAGAGTCAAGGCTGACTTATAAAGGGGTTTTATCTCAAAAGTTCTCTTTAAGTAATTTCCTGAGGGAAATAATGTTGTAGACAGTAAATAGGTTTCCCAGCCAGCCCACAAAAACCTGTTTTAACCTATAACCAGAAACATCAAATTGATAGTATATTTTGTAGTTTATGGTGTTATTTCTGTGAGAAAGATGTCAAGTTCAATTCTAAGACACCCAACATATACCTTCTCCTCTCAACTCTTAGAGTCTCCCCATCCCCTATGGAAGAGGAGCTCAGAGAGAGTAGGAGCCCTTCTGTGCAGCTACAAGTAGCTGCAGGGTCTCTCCCAAAGCAGTCCCTAAAAGCCTCATGTGAATGGTTTCCTATAAAAATGGCATTGTGGGATATGTTTAACTCACTAGAAAGGACAAATTCTTTTCTTTTGGCTTTGTTTTCTAAGGCAGGAGCATGCTGTTTTCGTAGAAATAAATGTTCCTAAATAAAAATGAGTCATATCTGGTCATGAAAACAGGTTTGCCTGATCAAAACACTTAGTTGGAGGTTGAAGTCATACTTTGCATAATTTATACAAGTTGAAGTTATAATTTGTTTGAAGTTACAACTTTAGAAACACAGCTATCCAGGGATACCGCTTTTCTTGAAACATATTACTGAAGTCCAATTTTTCAGGGATTTAAGTAGCCTTTCTCCTTAAGATGTTTTAATCATTAATGTTATAGTCTCGGCAGTATTTCAAACCTAAAGAAGTTAGAAACGAGAAAGCCATTTTGTTCCTCAGTGAAAGCTCATCACTGCTGAATCTGCCAGGGAGCCAGTGCTATCTGAACCTTTCTGTTAGTGGCCTCAGCCCCTGGACCATGTCCAGGAAATACCAGGCTAAAAATGATCACCCAGGTCAGGCCATCCCCAGGAGGTGGTGGACTGAGGTGGTGTAAAATCACACTATGTACCTTCCCGCCCTACTCTCTACCCTTCGTAGGCAGGAGAATTGGGTTAAAATGAACATCCAGTATAGCCTAGAAAGAGAAAGAAAGTCAGAAAATAAGTAGTTGAGAGGAGTGTGGGAAAGAGGCAGCCTCTATGGCATTCCCCTGGTTGGGGTGAGGAAGGGTGCATTGGATGAATGTACAGCATTTATGCATATAAACCTTGGGTCTTTTTTTAGCATTGGCCGAAAAACAACAACAACAAAAAACATTTCTCTATCACCAACCCTGTCTCAATGAGTCACTGCCCAGCTATCTTGTCAAATTAGTAACGCTCCTTAAAGCCTATGAGAACTATGCTGGTGCCTTTGGGATGGCTCTGACCAAACTGGTAGCCAAAGAATTTTTCTCTTGCTCTTCAGCCCCTCTTAGGCCTGCAAAAAGGTCATTATAGCCGTTATTCTTGATTTTCCTCTTGGAAGATAGACTCCCAGAATGCAGCCTGTCAAACCAGAGCCAACCCAAGAGATAGCTGCTTAGTGAAACATGAAAGCCAGGACAGACAATGAGACTAACAGAAGCAAAGAGCAGTAACACAGGAAGAGTATATACAAGGAGATTTGGGGAGGAAAAAGAAATAGGTCTTCTACAAGGAGAACTCAGAGAGATGAAGAAGCAAACTGGGACATGATTGAGGTTCAGAAGTGAAATCACATTTCCATCAGAATCACTTCTAACTACAGTAGGGCCTCCCTCTCTGAGGTTTCCCTTTCTGCTGTGTCAGTTACTCATGGTCAACTGTGGTTGGAAAAAATTAAATGAACATTTTCAGAAATAAACAATTCATAAGTTTTAAATTGCATGCTGTTTTGAGTAGCATGATGAAATCTCACTCCATCCTGCTCCATCCTGCCTGGGACGTGAGTCATCCTTTTGTCCAGTATCTCCCCACTATATATGCTCCCTGCCCTTTAGTCATTTAATAGCTATCTCGGTTATCAGATCGACTATTGTGGTATCCGAGTGCCTGTGTTGAAATAACTCTTATTTTACTTTTTAAAATGGCTCATTCACCTCTCTTCATCCTATCACATAGGGATTATATCATCTCATATCACAAGAAGGAGGCTGAATACAGTACAATAAGACATTTGAGAGGGCGCATTCACATAACTTTTATTACAGTATATTGTTATAATTGCCCTATTTTATTACTAGTTATTGTTGTTAGTCTCTTACGGCGCCTAATTTATAAATTAAACTTTATCATAGGTATGTATATATAGGAAAAAAACAAGTATATATAAGGTCAATATTATCCATGGTTTCAGGCATCCATTGGGGGTCTTAGAATGTATTTCATGTGGATAAGAGAAGACTACTGTAACAGCAATCATTTTTAAAAAAAATTAATAAACTACTTTTGTCTTGCCTTAATATTATAAAACAAGACATCAGCCCTATACAAGTTCTCTGCCCGTTCAGCCTGTTTAAAGAGGTAGGGGCTATATGGGCAGAGCTACAAATATTGCACCTTGGTAGACCAAAAATTAGCTTCTAAAAGGTCTAATGAACAACAAGCTACACCCTGTTCCATTTTACTTCAGTAATAATTATTGCACCAAAGTTTCTGCTGGGTTAGCTTAGTGGTCAGCTAATATTTGAACAAAGATTTCCTTAAACTGGAACCAAAAGGTCTCCCAGTCTTGGCCAAGCTCTGTGTACATGTTGAGGCATGCCTTCCACTCTCAGCCAGGCAAATGATGGCCCTGCCTTAGTCTTCCCTTTCCGCTGGCGAGGAGTTCAGAATCAGCCAGAAAGCTTGGGGCCTTCACAGATCTTGCCTAAGCATGTGCACAGCCCTGGGAATGCACATAGCCCTGAGCAACATGTGGTTTTCCAGATTCCTGGGAAAATGTGAACTTTTCAAGATCCCAATAGACATGTTATTCCCCAGTTTTTCCTTTTAAGCTTTTTAGTTATCTATTGCCTCAGGCAGCTGTGAAGTTAATTGATTGCCTGTAATGGTTTTCTAAACAAGCCCCTGGGGAAAGCATTTCTGCAGCTACAAGTCAGAGCTAATATAGTCTTGCAAGTGGGATCTTCTGGGGAAATACTAGATAGATCAAATAATGACAATTCTCTAGAAATGAGGCTTTATAGGAGCTCCAATGCCATTTTGTGTCCTCCAGCTGCTGTCAGGCTGCTGGCTTTTCTTGTGATTGCAATATGTGGATTCTCAAGGCTACTACAGGCTAGAGAGTAAGCGATGAGCACAGGACAAGTGAACACCACAAAGCTCACTATTCTCACCAAAATGCAGCAGTTTTTCTTGAATAAAGACTCCACAGGTTGTTGTAAGCCTTTGATTAATTTCCAGAGTTCTGAAAAAGTTTATTCTGAACATTTTTGCCAGTTTTTTCATTGCTATTATGGATAGAATTTTTTAAGATCCTCACTCTGCCATTTTTGCTGATGTCTTACTTTAATAATATACATTCCAGTGATTGACTGTATTTCTAAGGGTTGTTTTGTAAAACTGCAAGTAAGTGAAAAAAATCGCTTTGGAAAACAAATTTCTGACAGGGCTTAACAAAGACACTTGTACATCAAGTCTCCTAAGATTCCTTAGGGTTTGTGTCCACAAACAGCACACACTCTCAAGTGAAATCAAAGGTCACAGAATCCAGGGCCAGAAGGGGCCTGAGATACCGTAGTGTATCTTCCTTGTAGGTCACCTGATCCTAAAACCATGCCAAGATACTGCTGGTTCCAAAATAGCCTTCTCAGCAATACATACATATTTAACATACTGTCAGGTCACAGCTTCAAAAACATAAGAAAATGTCCATGGAAGACAGGTATGGTAAGGACAGAATATTCACTAATATATTCATTCCATAAACTTTTATAGAGTACCTACTATGTGCTAAGCACAGAGGATAAAACATCACTGAGAGGGAGCTTCCATCCTCCAAAATCTTTGAATCTAGTGGAGAGGATAGGCCTACAAACAATTTCGTAACAAATGTAAGCAGAATAGGGTTAAAAGGGTTGCTCAACTAACAATCTTTGCTGAGCTGTCTTGCAGAACAAGGATGTTCCCTGAAAGACTGACCACAGAACAATAACAACCTGTTCCTATTGAAACCAGATAAGGATGCCTAAAAGGAACACTGACCCTGCTTAA